GGAGCGGATTCATCATTTAAAACAAAAATGCTAAAAGCTGATTGTCTTTTGTCTTGAAGGTCTAAAGGATAAATAAACGTATTCGATTAAGACTTTTAATTTATACTATATATCGATACAGTATTAATAATCAACTTACTATTCGCTAATAGTTTGAATTTATCAATTTACGGCAGAGCTCATGATATAATCACTATGGACGTATTTTAAATGCTTGTCAACATCATCCGCTCAGCCTCGTCGAACAATATGAATTAACTTGTTAACGCCGAGTCTACCTACCTACAGTGTATCATGGTGTATAAAGTTACACCAATGTTTCCCAATGCATTGAACCAATCAGGGCAGCAGTTGAAAATTGAAAACAAAAACATTTAGCATTAAACATGCATAGTATGTACGTACGTACGTACGTAATACGTAGTTTACATTGAGCACGACTAATATTAGATTGCCATAAATTGTTAACAAGTTATGAATATATATTTGTATACGTACCCAATTTAAGTTTGTATTTTAGAAAAGCATGATATTGCGTCGAGTTCACCGCACACATTAATTATATGCATTTAGAAAATGTATAAATTGCTAATATGCTTATTCTTTTATTTTTGCGTCCTACTTAACATTTCCCCTTGATTTGAAAAGAATTAATCTCGAAATGTTAAAATTTCATTTAATTTTTATTGTCGTTTTAGTTGCGATTACAATCATTATCAACCCTGTCCTTACCATGCCTGCCGCTACTGCTAAGCATCCGCATAAATCTGAAGGTACAGCTCCATGATATTTATTGTCACAGTTGATGCTGGATTTTGATATGAAAATTGAAAAATTTTTGGAGTGTGTTTTTCCGGGTTGGTTAGAATCTGGAAGCTTATATTTTCGATCCAAATTTCAGCATCAGCCGTGACATTTATTAATAATATTTCTTCATTATATATGAATTAAATTATTAACAATTTAATTTCTCTAATCGATTATATATAAATAGAACGTAAGCATTATTCATTCAAAAATAGATTGCACCTATTGTGTTCAACGCCATATGAAATTTGCAAAATCTAGGGCTAGGAGTTAAAGTTAAATGAAAGTTCTTGGAAGTGCTGAATAGAACACCAAATACTGTTCATTTGGCCAATTTCTTAAGACATGGCGTTGAACACCTATGGTGCATTTAGTAAACCCGATAAAATTTACAAATTTAAGCTTTATCATAATCCATAATTTCAATTATATATGAATTAAATTATTAGATGGTGAGTATAAATTCAGAAATTATAAATGAGTACTTGAGAATGAAAACGTGCAAGTAAATATTTGACCCCACAAAATATTGTACGATTTGACCAATCAAATTTCAAGATTAGGCTTGATCTTGAAATTCGATTGGTCAAAATCGTACAATATTTTGTGGGATCAAATAATACCTATAGTAAACTTCTCTAATCAATTATATATTAAAATATTAGCTCGTAAGTATAAAAAATTTTTTTTATAAATTGCTAATTAAATAAAACTTCTCTAATTAATTATATATGAATTAATTATTAGATCGTAAGTACATAATTATTCAATAGATCAACATAATCTCTAATAGAATAAAATTTCTCTAATTAATCAATTATATATAAACTAAACTATTAGCGAGTAAGTATTAAATTGGTTTACAAATTAGAAAAATCTATAGCAGAATAAAACTTCTCTAATCAATTATATATAAACTAAATTATTAGCTCGTGAGTATAAATTTATTTGATAAATTGAAAACTTTATATAATCTATAATTGAATAAAACTAATTATATATAAATTTAAATTATTAGACGGTGAATATAAATTAAATTTATAAATTAGAATTTGTATTAATATATAATTAAAGTTAACATCTCTAATTAATTATATATAAATTAAACTATTAGCCCGTGAGTAAAACTAATTTATAAATTAAACTTTTATAATAAACCATCTCTAATTAATTATATGCAATTAGATGGTGATTATAAAATTAATTTACAAATTTAAGTTTGATAATGATCCGCAATATAGGTATCTAATCAATTATATAAAAACTAAATTATTAGATGGTGAGTATAAATTATAGACATAATAATCCATAGTTAATGAAAATTTTCTAATCAATTATTTACTAAATTATTAGCTCGTGAGTATAAAAAAATATTTTTATACTATCTAATCCCATAAAGAATTAATATATTGTAACTATAGGCTACTGTAGCCGTAACTAAGATCAGGTGTAACATGACTCTCAAACCAATTTTTTTATAAAAATAAAACCCTGCGATTGAGATTAGGATTAGTGTGAGGTTAGGGTTGAGGCAAGGTAGGGTTTATACCAAAATTTGGCAGAGAATTGTTTTGTTAGAACGTAAAAAATTAAAATTTTGTGGTATTAACAATTTTTTTAAAAAAAACTGTTTTGTTTTTGAGTCACACCTAATCTTGAAATCTGATGGATGCGGCTACAGTAACCATGGCTATAAATATATTAATCCTTAAATAAAACTTTTCTAATAAACTATATATGAATTAAATTAAATTATTAGATCGTAAGTATATAATTAAAATAATCTCGAGTAGAAAAAACGTCTCTAATCAATTACATATAAATTAAATTGTTAGCAAGTAAGTATAAAATTGTTTTACAAATTGGAAAATCTATAAAATAAAACTTTTCTAATTAATTATATGTAAACTAAATTACCAGCTCGTGAGTATAAATTTATTTTATAAATTGAAAACTTTATAATAATCTATAACTGAATAAAACTTTTCTAATTAATTATATATAATTTTAAATTATAGACGGTGAATATTAATTAAATTTATAAATTAGAATTTGTACTAATCTATAATTAATTAAACATCTCTAATCAATTATATATAAATTAAACTATTAGCCCGTGAGTATAAATTGATTTACAAATTAAACATTCTATAATAATCGCCAAGAAACTTTTCTAATTAATTGTAATTTAAATTATTAGATGGTGATTATAAAAATTAATTTACAAATTTAAGTTTGATAATGATCCATAATTAAATAAAATCTCTAATCAATTATATACAAATTAAATTATTAGATGGTGAGTATAAATTATAAATACGTGTAATAATCTATATTTAATTAAAACTTCTCTAAATCAATTACCGTATTTTAAATTAAATTAGCTCGTAAGTGTAAAAAACATTTTATAAATTAGGATTTTATAAAACTTTTCTAATCAATATATATAATTAAATTATTAGATCGTAAGTATATAATTATTTAATAAATCAAAATAGAATAAGATATCTCTAATCAATTAAATATGTATAAACTAAATTATTAGCAAGTAAGTATAAATTGTTTTACAAATTAAAAATATAATAGAGTAAAAACTTAAATTAATTCAATTATATATAAACTAAATTATTAGCTCGTGAGTATAAATTTAATTTATAAATTGAAACTTTATAATATCAATTAAGCAAACTTTTCTAATCAATTGCATATAAATTAGATGGTGAGTCAAAATTATTTTATAAATTGAAATAATCTATAGTCTTATAAAACTTCTCTAATCAATTGCATATAAATTAGCTGGTGGGTATAAAATTATTTTATAAATTGGAATAATCTATAGTTTTATAAAACTTCTCTAATCAATTATATATAAATAAAATTATTAGATCGTAAGCATAAAGGTATTTTGTAAATTAGAATAATTTATAATTATTGCGCTTTTAAATTACTGTGATCAGCAAATTTCACGTATTACACCAGGAATCAGAAATCTAAAATAA